GTCTAAACACAATTCATGTGTTTTCATTTCGTTGGTTGTTTATACCCGTATATACTTTTTGGCTTGGATTTTTATCTATAACAGTTTCTTAGTTATCAACCATGGAAACTGATTGTAATAACTCTTGTTCTACGAAGGTGAATTCCACAGTGTCCACCACATTTAGGCTACCTGAATTCCGTTCATTTGACCCAGAACTACGGTATGTTCAACTAGAGCCCTGCTTTAACCGGTGTGGCAATAGTCTGAGATATCTGGTCCTAGCTACTTTGTCAGATTAATAATGCAAATACTAGTGACTTCGTTCCAAACAGACCAGCAGAGAGGTGCGGCAGCTTACACTTACACTTCGACTCTCTCCTTAGCAGCCATAAACATTGCTTAAATGAGCAGTAACAAAACGCCTTTCACTGTCTAAAATCTTGAGCATAAATTGACTGTTTCAAGAGAAGAACATTTGGGAATGGATCATTAATACAGTTCTTGCATAAACTGCAACAGATTGTTGGAGAAAGCACATCGGGAGAGGCTAAACCGAATCACGGCTAGATGCAGGCCCTCCAGGAGAATGGGAACAAACAGTGAATTATCAGGATACTGACTCATTTCTACAGCAGACAGCAGCCGCCACAGACCGAGTATTGCAGTTGAAACGCATCGCATAATGCCAGACGAATCACATGAGCATAGGTAACGATGCGGCAATCTCAGAACTTGTAGCCAACGCCAGATCACCAACGGAAATATTGGAAAAAGTGAAGCTAGTGAGGGCCGACCGAGATGGGCCGCCTAACAAAAGACATATTAAGTCAAGAAGGACTCAGTAAAGGAAAGTCATTCATCATTCACTTTCCTTCAGTTGGTGAAGAGTGCCTAATAAAGCATAAACGAGATACATTTCCTACTTGGTCACTCACCACACCCTTCTGAATTCCTTAATCACTAATTACTCCGAAGTGGTCAGAGTTCTATGTTGCAGAGACCTTCTGGGTAACCAGTTAGTTAGACTGTCTGAATGAATTTGAACTCGTTTCCAGTTGGTTGCGACCAGGTATAGCCCTCACAATTTATGTATGGCTATCAGTCCTACTAGATATGAGCTCTAGCAGCACTACCGACTGACTCTTTAGCCTGACCACCTAACCTGAATGGTTTCAGGCGGCCCCTGAGATAGAGAGAAGAATAATGGACATGATCACGAGAAGACAGAAAGACAACAAAACCAAGTATAATTGTTGGCAGCTGCCAACTGCATGTGGGATGGTTGTTAGCATATCCCTGCTAAGATCTCAGCTCACCTTGTGTATGCCGAATAAAAGCGCTGAATATCGAGTGTGAAGAATATAATAAATGCGTGGGAAATGTGAGAACGCCGGTGGAAGCTCAAGGGCAGGGGACAGTTTACGACTGAAAATGGTGGTCAGTACCTCCAGGCGAAGATGAATAGGGAACAGGTAGGCGGATACTGAGGTAAAGCGTCGACAAAACTATGTATAGGGAACTGTAAACGAAAGAGTGCTTTCAGGTAGAAAGGCATAGTGCATTTGTGACAAGTAAGATGGTGATTGTGGACAACACAGTGGTCGAAATTCGGCATATAATGCATGCTATAGAGAATGAAGGCATGTCGCTTACTTCAGGGTTGATAATCTGCGGCTGGCAACGGCTGCAATTCAAGGCCAAAGAAAAGAACTTTCAGTCAGTATTTGCATATAATAATATAATATATATTTATTCCTATTTATGCAGGACAACCCAATTTTACAGGCATGGATAAGTATTATTTAAATTACATAAATTTGATTTATGGTGAAATTACATGGTTGCTGTCATTTTTCACATTAGTTTGCGGATACGATCTTTTAACTAGTAGTTCAACGACTAAATCCCAAGTATTCTAGTCGGAATGTGATACGCCAACAGAATATGGTGGTTTCTTATACACGGTTTGCCAAACTTCCATGAGTCACGCATAATAGAAAATATATTCCAGTCGTATTAAAACAATATTTAAAGTGATAAAATCCCCGGTACTATTAGGCGACAACAGGTTGTAATAATATATCCCCAATTTTCGCACATGAGGGACACCAATTTAGAGGCATCATCAAAAAGTGCCTCAAGAGTGCTTTCAGGCAACTTTGCGGTACATGGGTTCTCAGGTGCAAATACGGGCAGAGAGTCGACAAGAATATTTCAGCAGAAAGGATCAGAATTACTTCACGAAAAACTAAGTGGAACAAAATGTGTTTCTCTCAGAGAGTTCAGTACTAGCGGCTACTCTGCAGCGCAACCTTCATTTAGATGAACAAAATACTAAAAACAGAGGGACAACACGTTGTTGTCAATATTCAAATACCACAGAATGATTAAGTCAAAAGAAGGCCTGTAGATCTTAGAACTATGATTCACTGGCCACAGGCAAGTGATAATCACTACAAATTTAGTTGAAGTACTAAAATAGATATCAGTGCTTTAGATAGATCATACACGAAGGAGTTTCAGGTCGACTATCCTCATGCAAATGGCTTTAAATGTATTTTTGCATTTTTGACCGAACTACCGAAGTGAATGCAAAGTTAAAATTTCATCCAGTCTTCTACCTATTGGGTCTATAGGACAATGGCTCACTAATACCAATATTTGGATTTCAGTCAGTAAAATACCAAGGCAATATTTTCAACTATCAAACAGTAGGTTTAGTTCATTATCGAAGGTGCTAATATTCATGCGAGTTTGATAGCAACATGTGTTTCCAGAAGTTTTGTAAGACGTTCAAGCTTCGTATAGCTACAAGACTCATTACTATTATCACAATCTGGACAGTCAAATTTCAGAAAAAGCTTGTCACTGTTTAAAACTAGAAGTTAAATTGCAAGGCACCTCTGTTTGCGGTGTCACATCGAATGAAGCGGACAGTGAACTTTGTGCGGTCTAACCCTGTTAGAATTCATATATGTTAGTAGTTATTGTAGTAAACCCTGGTTGACCCTATCCTTAAAAACTGCATCCTGAAAAGCAGATACTACTGATGTAGGACACAAAAACAAGAGAGCAATCCAGTACCCATAGTCGAAGAGAACTGACACTTACTGAGTAAAAAGTGAATCTGACAAAATTACCTGGACTGCAGTTTCAATGCAGTTGGTTGCAGTCATACCCAACGAACTAATGACTGGTCAGTCAGCCGCTCAGACAAATTCTTCCCAATTTGACAAGATGGAATCAATACTCATGTGACATTGCAAGAAATTTATTTTCACTAAGACTCGACATCACATTTTGATATAAATTTTCCGGTCTTCATGACCTTCGAATTCGCAAAGACCTTTATAACTGCACTGCATGAAAATGTCCCCCGTAAGATATGCCAGGAGGGCATCGAATATCTATTTCTGAAGTAAAATTCAGACCAATCTGACGTGTAAAACTTCTGTAAGAAGGCCACCTGAGTTGACCTGCATTGATGTACATCGAATTAAGACGTTTTACTAAGAGCTATTAAGGGATTCTTATAGTGTACTGATAACTCCTACTGTCCTTTAGCTTTATTTGAGTTCTTTAAGTTGAACCAGTGAGCATTTGAAGGGTTTCAAGAGGTTTGAACGCCTGAGGCAACCAACTGATAGCATTAGGAACCCCATAAGGTAATATAATATTTGATGGAATGTATGTCAGGCTTTAAAGACACGAAGCACTTCAAGTATCTTATTCGGCCCTGCAAAGTATGAACTATTTCCTCTGTAGGTCTAGTTCGTTCGGAGCATCAGTAAAAGGCGACTGGGGCATCAGCCAGAGTATTGTGAAAGAAAATAAGGGGGATGCAGATGACTGCAGTCTAACTGGCAGAAGCGCGCATGTACATTAATTTGGGTAAAGCTTAATGCTCACCATAATAATAATCACTTTATTCCACAACAATAACAATTTACAGCATGGAATTTTCAGCGTGAATGGTAAACTTGTTCGGGTAGCATTTATCGATGCTTTTTCCCATTTTCGTTTATAATGAAAGATTCCGCTTCCAGGTCAATTTCTGGTGAATTCTCTTTGCCAGGTAGTCGCAGCAAATTTCTGACTATTTTCACATAAATGGAAGCCTATTTTCACTGTTAGTTGCCCGCTGATCTACACATTCTGAGAAGAATGTAGAGGAAATATTGTCTGCATTTGAGGCGACTCGACAGGTTAATTTTGAAATGATTTTCTTTTATTGAGGAATATGAGGAACTAAATTTATTGCTAAAGTTAATACGATGCCAAAAAGTGCAGTTATGCACCTCGAAATTCTCTTTTTAGTTTAGCGTAATAAAATGAGGAAACATACTTTACTTAAAAGTGTCGCGTTATGCTCTATAGAGCCTCGAATTTATCTTTGGAATCATTTCAGTAACTCATTGGCCGCTGGTTCGCATGAATCCGTTAACACGTAGTTTGTCCCGAATTCCCATGATAAGATTGATTGGAAGTTTTCGCTTTATCTGAATTTGATGTCGATGACATACAGAGATTGAGCAGTTAATGACCTAGAATAAGCAGAATAGTATCTGACACGAGGATCGTTCACCGCCTTGAAGCTGTCAGTCTTCATAAGAATATGAGGGAAACCTTCCTGTGGACGAAGCAGCCTGAGGAAATCTAAAGTAAATTGCTTTAAATTTCCTTTGAGCAGGACTGTCAGATGCTGTGTGATAGATCCACACGAAGAAACAAAACTCTGAAAACAGTGAGAATGATTTGCTGTCCTGAAGAATTACTCTCGCTAGCTTCAAGTGATAATGATTTTTTATTCTTTCGAGCTATGCAAAATTTCTACACAAGCCGGTAAATTAGACAGCGATATACAGTTAAGACCTGATGTTTTCAGTAAGGAAACTGATCTTTCACTGGGGGAGTAAAATGTGTTAGAAAAATACTGGTAAATTTCACTTCAATCTTTCTTCTTTCCGTTATTAATTGTCAGGGTGAGATGTAATTTTCCGCGTGTTTCGTAACTTCCGCTGATTTCGAAAGTTAGGTTTGTAAGTCCGTAGTACTGTTAAATATTATCATATTCAAGGTCTAAAGTTCGTATAATTTCACACGAATGTATGCACTGCTGCTTTTATTACTTTATACAACTGTTTTTACTCCATAAACTGGATTTATATGTAGAGACTAGCCTAACATATTTCAAAAATTGTCATAATGCAATCTAGACCAGTAGGAGTCGACCCAATTATAAGCCACTCAGAACCTTCCTATCGCCATTTTCATATTCAAATATTTATAGTTGTAGTAACTTCTATAACAACCACACATCAGCGCAGTGATGTGTACTTGTCACAATGGTGATAAGTAAAATGAGTATACGGCAACTGTAAAGAGTAGATACGACCGTGAAAGAACCACATAGGTTCTACGTGAAAATTTGGTATTTAATCCACAGAAAAATGTATTTGTAATATGTTACAAAAGTGAATTATACAGGGTATGTATCCCTAATATGCTTTAAAAATCGGTCTCAGTGACTCATAGGAGTGTTTGCAGACATATAACGCCAGTGTCGACATAATAACTCATTTGGGTGGCTATTTATCATATTTTACTAAGGGAGAGTTTCGATTTCAAGAGGAAAGTACCTAAAAAATCACCATAATTTACGACCAACCAACGCTTACAGACTTACCTAACAGTGGTTGTACCTAAATGTATGACCATAGAAATGCCGGCACTACTTCTGCAAAGTCATTGTACCTCCACATATCAATTTTTTAGTTCTCCCTATCAACCCGTTTTCCACACAGGAGTCAAAAACTAAATCTGGGTGAAACTTGCAAGGATTATTATGAACAGCGTTCATTTGTAATGTTGAGCGATCTAACTGAAGGTCGTTTGACTTTGGTGTCTATTGTTTACTCTTACTGAGCATACATATTGATACGAATTGTTTTAGTACATCCCCTTTGAAGTCACAAAAGTTCAGTCGTTTATAAGTAGCTGTAGTAATGACCTACAAGAACTAGTCATGTAGTGTTATGACAGTAGTCGTGGTAGTTAAGACGGGTGTGTAACTGTATCCGTCATTTGTTAGTATCATGTTAGCACACTCTCCTGAGTGTTGTCGAATTGATTTTTTGGCTGTATCTAAAAGCCTGTCTGTGCCCTTCTCACCCGGTTGGCAGTATGCGTATCCGGACATAATGTTCACCTGATAAATGTCGATGGTTTATGAGCACGTCATATGAGGTTTTTGAAGTGTTACTTCATGCTGGTATGCTAACTGCTATTTAGCACGCTCTTTGACAAACGAGCTTACAGTGTTTGGCTTTCGTATCATGGAAGAAGACGAAACGTTGTTTGTCTTTGAGTTGCTTCAGAACTTAGATATCTAATGATATAATTATCTTGAGACAGGTGACAATGAAGCCACGTTAAAACTCATGAATTATAAAGCTGATTGTGTAAAACCTACTCTTTTACAAACACAAGTTACTGACACTTCTCGATCATGTTTTCGTCAGTTGATTGTCTGGTATTCTTGATTATAACATGTCGAAGACCAACTGTTTTCATCGTTTCTAGTCTGTCAGCTTATAGGTTAATCACTTTTATCCTTAACACTCACATTGCGCTTTATAAGGCGTAATTACTGTTACCACGAAAGACTTACTGTAATATATTGCAATACGCATCTGATTAACTATATTTCGATAACTGAAGATGTTCACTGGCTGAAGTTTTACATACTTCGACTGGGGTTGTGAAGTATTCATGGGCTCAGACATTGTAACTCGTTGCATGTTAGACAAAAATTGTGTACTATTATTATTATTTTTAATGCATGAATACAACTTTTTCATTCATGTTCAGTGAGGAATATCATTTTGATTCCTGTTTTCATTTTCAGATAGTGTTTTCCATTCAATTGCATCGCCTCTTCTTCGTCAGTATACTTCCGTGGTCTAGTTGCGTTTGCTTAGAATGGATTTCAGTTCCATTTCCCAGGTAAATTCGTGTGAGTTTATAAACTTTTTAGAATCCAAAAGCTGTTTCTGGTCTATCACTTAGGAAGTTTAAATCTGCAATAGATATTTCTGATGATAAACGCAAGGAAATGCACAAAAGTACTCATAGAGCTATTGAATTGATTGTAAAGAGGGTAGAAAAAGACTTACATGCTGAAAGTTTGTTGCTACATTATCAATATTACTCTAGAAACTCGACTTTCTACACTGTTGAACGCCTTCTACTTTAAACTTGACTATAAGCCAAACGATGATGTTGAAAGAAAAACAAATCAATTGGCGTCACTACTGAGTAAAATTGATTGCTGCAGTTGCTCTGAAACCAAGTATGTTTTGGCTCTTTGTTTATTATGTAGCATTAAAAATGGTATTTCCGTATTCCAGAATAACCACGACAATCTAAATGCATCAGTCGTGGCTATGGAGAAATCGTGTACTTCATTCCAGAGTTTGCTTGAAGAAGTTGATAAATTGGAAAAAGATTTAGAAACGTAATCTGATTTCTTCTTTAAATCAAATGTTGTGTAGTGCTAAGTTTTATTATTTATATTTAGTGAACAATAGTATTTCTTTTTCAAATCATATCACGTCTAGGATTGTAGTCACTGTTATAGTATAGCACTTACCATTTTGTCTAGTGACAAGCAATTACTCAGAAGTATTACTGTAGAATTATTAAGGGTTATATTGACTAATCACTAGTATTTGTTTACTAATTTATTGTATTTATATATTTATTGTTCACTTGGGTTCCTAGTGGAACATAGGGCTTCAACTGCACTTCTCTACTTGCTTCTGTCTTCTGCTGTACTTTTCACCTGCATCCATGTTAGTCCATACTGTTTCAGCTCCTCTTCACACGATCTCCTCCATGTCACCCTTGCACTGACGTCCCACTCGCCGCTTCCCTTTCGGGTTCCACTCGAGGGCCTGATGCGTGATGTCACCCAGCGGCCTCCTCAGCGAGTGTCCAATCCATCTCCACTTTCTCCTGCATATTTGTTGGGTGGTTGGTTCGTGTTTTGTTTTTTCCTATAGTTTCTTGTTGGTAATTCTTTCCGGCGGCCATCTGACCTTCAGTATAGAGCGAAGACAGCTGCTGATAAAGGTCTGCAACAGGCTGTTGGAAATATTCTTTGTGACCCACCAAGTTTCTGATCCGTCCAGAAGAACTGACTTGACGTTTGTATTGAAAATCCGAATTTTGTTGTTGATGCAGGCTGAGTGACGAAGATTTCCAGATTGGTTTCAGGTTGATGAATGTGTTTCTCGCCTTCCCGATTCTCTATTTGACATCCTCGTCTGTTCCTCATGTAGTTGAGACAATGCTCCCTAGATAAGTGAAGTGAATGAAGTAACCTCTTTCAAATCCCTCCCGTTGATGGTGATTGGTGCTGTATGTTGCTGCTGTTGTTGTTGTTGGTTGGTTATTTTCGTAACCTCCGTCTTGTCTGTGTTCACCTGGAGTCCTGTCTTTGCTGCTTCTTCGACCAGTTTATCGGTTTTCGCTTGCAAGTCGTCGATTTTGTGTGACATCAAACATAAATCATCCGCGAAACCCAGGTCTTCTAGGTTCTTCACGTCGGTCCAGGATATCCTTGTCTTCTCGTTTCCCACTGTCCACAACAATTAGGAATATCATTGATGATAATAAACACCATTGTCTAACTCCTGTGTTGACTCCAAACGCCTCACTGACAGCCAAGGGAACCCAATTACCAAGGCGAGGTTACTAATTTATTGTACTGTGTTATTATTCACTTGTTAAAATCTTGAGTATCCATGCATCCAATCTGTGTGAATTTAATGTACAGTTCTTCAAGAGTAGTTTGATCTCCTGGATTGAGTTGGCCCAGGTAGAGAAGTAGTGAGCTCTATCCAAAAAATAAGTGATCACACGTTGTTGGGATCTCATCATTATGATCTTTTCCAATCCATTGGACTCGATGCAAATTATGATGTCTAAAATACCACAATTCCTGATTTGAATGTCCTAGTTTTCTAAGAAAGTCAAGGTATTGCCTACTTAAAATACTAAGAATCTTCCAAAGCGTTTGTCTTAGTCGTAATACTTATATAAGGTGGAATTGTATATCACAACAGTATCATTTCAGATATTCGCACTTAGCCCACGTATAAGTCTTTATTTAAACTTTTCTCCTTTAAGTTGTTCTTTAGCTCCTGGAAATTCTAAGAGTTTCAGAAACACAGTCCACCATGAATGAATTTTCATCCAAGTTTGGTAATTGTGTAGATCACATTCGCACGTCAGTCCCTGCTTCGTATCTCCGCCTAATTAGTAATAAATAACATGTAACTGAAAAACAATGATAAAAAAGTTAAATATTTTTCTTGACGAAAGTCATTTGAGTACATGACGTATACATCATTCTATCCTACCAGCATCATCACGTTAAGATCAACAGTAGACATAAGTTTTCTTTAAAGAATAGACATCTGTCGGCTTCACCCAAATAACAAGTCTGGAATAATCAACAATAGTAGACATCATTGATGATTATTTCTAGAGGCTGTTTGTCGAAATACATTCTTATACTTCAGATTCAAATATTCAATCTAGGAAATCAATGGTCAAATTCTTCCTAAGGAATTGTAATTTGCTAAAAAAAACAATATATAGCTTTCCATACCTTTTGTAACCCACTATCTCTCGTACTATAGTTACTTTTCTTTACGCTGTCATATTTAGAGAGGTGCTTTTCCTAGTGATGATATCTTAACATCAAGCCTGCAATACGTGCATTTATTATTATTATTATTATTCCCTTGGGTTCCGAGTAGAACATAGGGCTTCAACAGAACATTTTCATTTTGTGCTGTTTTCTGCAGTCCTCTTTGAGTGGTTCCACGATTGTCCAAAGCCTGTCATATCCTCCTCATATGATCTCCTATATGTCGTCTTCAGAGCCATGCCCAACTCTCCGCTTCCCACTCGAGTTCCACTGGAGGGACTACCTGGTGGATGACATCATCGAACGGTCTCCTCAGTGTGTGTCCGATCCACCTCCACTTTCTTCTACATATTTGTTGAGCGATAGGTTCCCAGAGTTTCTTCTTGCTAATTCTTTCCCTCCGACCATTTAATCTTCAATATGGAGCCGGTGAAGGAGGCAGCTGTTGATAAAAGTCTGCAGCGGGCTGTCAAAAATGCTTTTCGTGATGTGTTCTCCAAGTTTCTGACAGTGTTGAAAATCCGAATCTTGTTTCTTATGTTGAATGCAGAGTACTATGTAATGAAAACTAATAGAAACGGTAGTATGCATGCTCGTCTGTTCTGTTGTTTTAATCATATTTATTTACTCAGCGGTCTGTATTCCGTGCGTCGGTGGCACAGTGGTGGGGACTCTCGCCGACCATGCACATGGTCCGGGGTTCGATCCCCTGCCGACGCACACCTGATATCTATGGTCGGCCTGCAAAATTTGGGCTACCGATATCACATGCTGAAAATTCCATTCCTGTACCAAAAATACGGTGTGGAATCAAGCTATAATAAAAAAATTATGTTGTGTGCTGCTTATTTTTTTAATAATATTTCTGTACATGACCGTGTAATACTTCGAGTAGCCTTTATTACTTTTTTTGGGTAAATAGTGTGTTTTTCACGAAAAATGTCTCCATCCGAAAATATTTTCTATTCATCTTGGATTGTTGCTTTCCAGAATTTAACCGTTTAATGTCACTCACTTCAATGATACGTAGCAGTCTGGAGCTGTTTTCAACTTTAATTATCTTAATGCTTTGATTTCATGACCACTGTGACGAGCAATCGGACTACTAAGGACGTTTGCACTCTTCAGACGCAAATCCCTTGGTTTAGGCTTAGATATGCGATCACAAATCCTTCTTTTCGTTCTTCCGATGAGTGTACTTTAACATGTATATGTAAACTGGTCTATAGAGGTTGGGGATGAGATGAAAGAGGCACTTTTCAAGCTTAGATTGTCCCATGCCATCCTCTATGGGGTACTTTGAGCAGGCAAGCTTGAAACACGCGATAGGTGATGTAACATTTGACAAGAGATATCCTGATGACACATTTATTTTATGCAATGATATTGTTAAACATGTCTCTCATTTGCTTGACTTATTTAACAAGGCCCATATAAATATGGAATATTATGAAAATAGAAAGTTTTTTTTGTCTGGATCTTGGACTCTTACGAAATACACATGAAAATATAAAAGGGTATATTCATCCTAAAGAATTCTGGAATATACTATTTCTGAATTTCAATAGTTTCTGGTCCAATAAGTTACAGAAAGAGGTATAGTGAGAATACTGTCCTACCGCTTTGGAAAGCTTTATTTAAAAGAAGGGCTAAATGATGAACTTGCCATCATTGAATAGTGTTTACGAGACAATGGATAACCGCAAAAATTCATTGATAAACACAAGAAAATACCACATACATATATAAGCAAAATTTGATACAGTTGAGAAAAGAAATCTGTTTTCCTTAATCATGTCCTCAAAAGTGATGACGTATTTGGAGGAATTATTTATAGGATAAGTGCTGCTGTCAAACAAACTTATCCAGCTCTTATGTTTAGTCACAATATTATCGAAGTAAGTGCTAACTGAGACAATTTAAGTTTGACAAGTACCCTTCTTATGCTGCCTCCAAACTGTATATACCAGTTTACATGTAAATACCAAAGCACATTCATTGGATGAAAAGGAACAAGGCAATGTGACTACATATCTTGGCACATTCTAAGAAACTTGCCACTGATAGATAGGTGCAAATGTTATTCCATATTGGTTTGTTTATCAGATGTATCACACAGTGAAACAGTATTATTTACTGAATGACAATGTTTCGAACAAAATTTATTGTTCATAATCATATCCTCAGTTATAATCACACGACTTCGAAACCTCAGTTTTATAGTTTTCTTTGTTCTCTCCTATTTGTCGTCGTTGGGGTAGTAGAATTTTTCAGATATCTGCCTGGACAGGTGTTGAATCATTCCTATTACATGTATTTGCAGTTGATTCGATAGACAAAGCTTCTGTTATCAATCTCTCCCTCCATTCACCCTGTGACATTAGATTTTAAAATTGTCATCCTATCCCATCCTATTGTATGGTTGTGTGTGACTGCATGTAGTGCTATAGCTGAACTATTCTCTAGATTTCTTATCTTATTCGGTGAACTAATTTAGATTTTGCTAGGCTAGTCGGACTGACCCTGTTCTACTAGTTTGACCTATGTATTTGACCTGACAATCATCGCAGGCCAGGGTATTAGAAAAACTAAATTGTTTTGTTTTAACGGCTGCACAGGATCCTTTAAACGACAAAGCATGTTTCTAATTGAGTTTGTGGGTTTGAATACCAGCCACTTTTATTCCTTCTACTACCCCTACGACAAATAGAAGAGAACAAAAAAACTATAAAACTCAAGTTTCGAAGTCCTGTGATTATAATTGATGAAATGATTATGAACAATACTAGATTGCGTTCGAAACCTCGTCATCCAGTAAATAATACGACTGTTTCACTGTGTGATACATCTGATAAACAAACCAATACGGAATTACTTACTACCATAATGCCCAAGCTGTACACATATATTAAGGTGCAAAAGTTGTTTGTAGTAGTTCGATTGCTCACCACAGTGGTCATGAAATCGACGCATTGAAATTCTTTTTTATAGAATTAAACTGTCTCAGTTGTTAGATTTCATAAATCCTGATTCATTGGAATGAACATGTAGGAAGGGTGGTTTGGGTGAAATAAGACAATAGAAGCATATGGAGGCTTAACTTTATGTACTCATTGTTCGAAGAGATTGTTATAGGTGTAAGGAAATTTTTTGTAGAGCTTATTAGCCTGTTGGTCAAGGCATTTCTCTTGCGAAACCTTTCCCGAACTCTTCTTTATCTGCTGAATAATAATAATAATGGATTTATTCCGTACGAATGTGGAATTCTCAGCATGTAGTACAGCATTGCATCTGTGTTTCTCACTACAGAGGTGTTAATTAAAACAGGGCATTTACATTGATAATCTTGTTCAATATGAATATAAAGTTACATTTAGTGAAAATATTATTATCAATATAATAATGGAAAAAGGGCCCTTTGCTAACTGTCCCACAGTAAGTTAGTGGTGTCATCCTTACACTTTTCTCACCACATAAAATGTGCACCAAATAAGGTATTGTAGAGCTTTTATACTCAGTCGTCCGAGCTTAAAGTTTTTAAAAAAAATAGTTGCTTCTAGTGCTGCCTGATGAGATGCAAAGAAAGAATTGTTTATATAGGGGGATGCTTAGGGTTTGACAAGATAATATTCACTAGTTGGAGGATCTCATCATGAGCTGACATCAATTTGGAGAACCACTGGAAAGCCTGGGAGTACTGGACAGCTGTTTCGTCCTCGTTCGGGACTCGCTATCAGTACGCACCGACCGGGATTCGAACCCAGGATCTTCTGGTGACAAGGCTGGCCAGCTCCTGGACCATTAAGCCAGCCACTGGGATCCGACACCTCAATGGCCAGCCCGTGAATTCTAACTTCTACCAATTCATGACGTAGCGTGACCACTTCACATTGTCCTCTTCTATGAGTTATTGCCTCACCTTCAACCTGCTTTACGTTACTGGTCACAGTTTTCCACTAGAACCCCAAGGTTAACTGCATGAATAGGACCAGTCGCTAGTTAGGAAATACACAATCCAAGGTATTTAACATTCGACTTAGTCTCAACTTCAGTGCCATCTGTAATACTAGAATCATGCAAACTAAGCAGTTCATGCAAATGGCACTTGCGTCTAAAAGTAAAATTAACTAACTGACATTTGGAAGGATTTAAGCTTAATACAATTTGACAAGGAAGGACCACTGACTAATTTCTGATAAAAAGTTATTCATTTTGGAATAGTCTCACTGAGAAGTAACCGCCGGCATAGAAACAGTCAGATCATTGGCATACTTAACAAATCGGCTTCATCAGACTGGGGCAAGTTATGTGAAAAAAAGTAGCACGTTGAGGAACACCGGTTAGAAAAAGTAAAGCAGTTGAAGACTTCGCGTTATATACAGGAACATGAGAATGCAGCCACTTAATCATCCAACACCCTGCTTGTGTTGCATGACAAGCTTGTCTGACAAAATAAGCCTAGATAAGGAGTCAAAGACACCTCTGTCTAAACTAGAGACACTATTATTATGTAAGGCGATAGCGTCATCTAAAGTACACCTACTACATTTTTAAGCAAATTGTTTAGGGTCATTAAAAAGCCTTTAATGGAAGTCCAAGGTTAAGTAGAAGCAGTTTTTCCGTTATTTTTTTATAGTAAAATAGGCAAAGGAACAGTAATAGGTCTAGAGAACCTCTGGAATGTCATTAACCTTTACATTATGCATGGCTTATTGTACGAAGTGATAGACGATTACTTAAATAAATAAATACATAAAACAGATTCTCAAGTGTTGGTTTGTAGGGATTTGATTGGTTTCAGGATTTCATCATGAGCTGACATTAGTTAAAGAACCATTGGAAAACCTGGGAGTACTGGACAGCTGTTTCGTCCTAGTTTGTGACTCTTCATCAGTACGCACCCACCGGGATTCGAACCCAGGACCTTCTGGTTACAAGGCGAGCTCGTATACCATTAAGCCACTGGGACCCGATCCAATGGCCCATGAATTCTAACTTCTGCCAATTCACGACATAGCGCGACCCCTAGCTAATGTCTTCGGCGAGTATTTGTCCTCACGCCCGACCTGCTGCACCCTACTGGTCACGACTTCTCACTAGAACCCCAGGTAACTACCTACCTGAATAGGGCAAGTCGCTAGTGAGCATCTCATTGACTTTCAAGTGTTGGTTTGTATGGATTTGATTGATTGGTTACAGGATTTCATCATGAGCTGGATCGTGTTCCAGTGGCTTAATGGTATACGAGCTCGCCTTGTAACCAGAAGGTCCTGGGTTCGAATCCCGGTGGGTGCGTACTGATGAAGAGTCACGAACTAGGACGAAACAGCTGTCCAGTACTCCCAGGTTTTCCAATGGTTCTTTAACTAATGTCAGCTCATGATGAAATCATAAAACAGATTCATTCGTTTGACGTTTATTTTATTTTATTTAAAAAACAAACATTTTAATTGTAGATTTTCAAAGGAGTATCGTCTATCTCCAGATGGTGTCAAATCAGAAATGCGTTCTTTACAAGTGATCAAAGAAAGGCATTCAAAAGTGTCAAAATCTTTGTCACAACAAAATAAATCTCTAAGTGTAAGTACCTTTATCATTATTATTTTTACGAGTTGATTACAGATTGATATCAGTTAGAGAACCATTGGAAACCAACCAGGGAGTACTGGACAGCTGTTTCATCAGCCTAGTTTGGGAGTCATCGGCAGTACGCACCCACTAGGATTAAACAGCAGCTGTCCAGTACTCCCTGATTGGTTTTCAATGGTTCTCTAACTGATATCATAATCCGTGATCAACTCGTAAAAACAAAACTAACCTTTACAAACCAAACTATAGAAAATTATTATTTGTAAAAAATTATATTTGTAAAATCTCAGCGATATTGAAATAAGTAATTCCAACGTTTCGTTCGGCAATCTGTGTTATGTTAATTTTGATTGATTTCCCTGAAGAAGTTCGGACCAGATTGCCGAACGAAACGTTGGAATTACTTATTTCAATATCGCTGAGATTTTACAAATATAATTTTTTACAAATGTCTACTTCTCACTCGGCGCCCAAATATTTTAGAACTATTCGGTCAAATCTTGACGACAGTTCATTTGAATTATTTTGTTATCGAATTAAATTAACAAAGAAACTATGTAATTGGCACAATCATCGTGTTTTCAGTCTCCGTTGTCTGGAACAAAATGCACATCCTAAATCCGTAGCTGTCGAGTCACCTGACAACCCCAGTAGGTCGAATAAAGCAGCTCAATATTCAGAAAGAAGACAATGCAATAAGTTCGACAGGGTGCTTAAACTAAACTCTAATCCTAAACACCATAATTTTGAAAATACGTCTAATCATAAAATTCTAGATACTAGCAGTTTGAACGGACATGAAGGTTTGATGTTAGCTGATGCATAGGAAATCCTGATTAATAAATAAAAATGGATATGTATCACTAATTAATAATACTTGGTCAAATTCCTGACTGTCTATATCTTCCTATGGAGACGTTAAGAAATGTTTTACGACTGTTTACACACACACGCATGCACACTCTGTTTAAAGTATTTAACAAAGGTAGACCAATATTTGTAAGTCCGAGGTCAAATTTTGATCACAGCTCATACAATTTTGTTTATTATACTTGTTAATACTTATGTTTATGAATCATGATTGGACAAAGTCTTTAAAAAGATGTGCCTTTTATATATAAAAACCTCTGTTATGTTAATTTTGATTGATTTCCCTGAAGAAGTTCGGACCAGATTGCCGAGCGAAACGTTGGAATTACTTATTTCAATATCGCTGAGATTTTACAAATATAATTTTTTACAAATGTCTACTTCTCACTCGGCGCCCAAATATTTTAGAACTATTCGGTCAAATCTTGACGACAGTTCATTTGAAAATTATTATTATTATTATTATTAAAACAATTAGTCCCTTTGATAAATTTGAATAAGGCATTTAGAAGACAAATTTCGCGAGATGATATCATTTCGTAGTTTCTTTACAACCGCTTTACAACTAACATGGTTAACAATAATAAAATAATAATAAGCTCATGACAATTACTCAGTCAAATAAAAACAAAAGTACATACTAATGACCCATTATATTTAAAAGGTCATGTAGTCCATGGTAGGCGAAGATTGAAGTCTATTGTTTTTTGTACACACAGTTTAAGCTGTATGTGATTAATCCAAAGTGCTTCCATCACCTTCAGTAACCTTGAATTAGAGTTATGTGAAATAATTGTGAAACAGTCATTAATATTGATTTTGTGACGTGACATTAATAAGTGTTTTGCAATGGATGATGCTGGATTTCTATTCAGATTAATCGCGTTGGGATTATCTGTATGCTTTAGTAGCCATTTTGGAACATGTTCTTTTCGATGACACTGGAACACATTCTGTTGGTTCTACCTATATAGGTGTCACCGCAGTTGCAGGTGAACTTGTAGATACAGTTTGAAGTAGAGTAGGCCACAGAATTTCGTCCTTTAATCGTAGGTACAGGGATCGAAAATGTTCGGCAAGTGAGAAAAAGAGATGTGGCGGCGTAGAATGTGCGTTTGATGGCTGACCGAAGTCTTTGAGCTAGCTGTCAACTGCATAATCTGGTCACCCTTGAATGATAGGTTAACCATGTTAGTTGTAAAGCGGTTGTAAAGAAACTACGAAATGATATCATCTCGCGAAATTTGTCTTCTTAATGCCTTATTCATATTATTATTATTAATTACTGATCACTTTTCATTTTTCTCTCCTTTATAGAAATCAATAGCATCAACTGGAAGAGTACTCGATCATCGTGTCCTAGTTGCCTGGTCCAAGGTGCGTGTGTGTTCCACTCACAATAACATTTTTGTTTAGGAAATTAAAGAATTAAAAGAACGCAGAGCAATCCTATCTGAACGTGTTGACCAGTATATGGGCATTTCTGTGGTAAACATTATTTTCTCTTTTGTTTTTGTTGTGTTTTTCGCACATTTCATCATCATTTTACTCTAAATCTCTAATCTAATCTAATCACACTGGGTTGTTTTTTCTTTCTTTAGGATACTACAACAGCTAAGAAACAGTTGAATGATGTACTCTCTGAATTGGTATGTGCATGTTTCAATTGGTTGACTAATGTTAATGATTGTGTGTGTGTTTTCTTTTTTAGGAATCCATAGATTCACAAATGTTAACAGTAATGGGATTGAATGCATGGAATTGAAGAAGGCAATCATAAATGTACAAAACCCCTCGCCCTCCCCGTACCCCCCAATGATTGTGATGAGCAGACTTATCCGAACATTTCACAAAATTCATCAATGTTATAGCCTCCTTGAACAATACTCATTTTGGTCAAATTAAACTTGACAATGATGATGATGTTGGTGACGGTGATGATTGTAGAAAGAGATTTTTTCAATATGCAATTTTATTTTAGTCAATGTCAATGAACACTCAGTCTTTTTGCTATGCATACAGTGTCTAGATTTTGTTAAGGAGGTGTGGTGTTTGCTTTAATAAGCTATTTTGTGTTTATTAGCACAAATATATATGAACAAACAAAACAATAATAGCTTGGGATAAGAGGAAGATCTCTATTTTGTGGTCTCTTTCATTCAACAACGGGTATCTTGGCTACGGAATTTCATTATGGCGTGACATCGGTTAGAGAATCATCGGAAAACCTTGGAGTACTGGACTGGGACTCTTCATTGGTACGCACTCAGTGCCAGGGTTCAAACCCATGACCTTCCGGTAACAAGGCTAGCCAGCTCGAAGACGATTTAGCCAGCCACTGGGACCCGACACCTCTGTCGCCAGCCCATGAATCCTAACTTCTGTCAATTCATGATATAGTGTGACTAACACTAGCCATTATCATCCGTGGCGAGTATTTATCGTCACACTTGACCTGCTGTACTCCACTGGTGGTCAAGAACATATATCTTGTAGACTGTCACTGACTAATAATCGCCATCCAGACATTAACGAAACCAAAGTACGTAGTTCGTGGAAGAGGATATTTTCGGGGAATTTATTCGCTAAGCTGTGCAATCACATCTGTATATACAATCACTTTTCATGAAAGAGGATAGTGAAAAAAGTGATGAGTTGTCATAAGCATAGTATTGTCAGTATTAATCAATGCATAAAAGGAATTGAGTGAGGGTATTCGAGTTACGTAATAAGATGAATGATTTGATGAATGAGTTGTAATCAGGATGCAGATAAAAACGAAGGAAAATAAGAAACTACACAAGAGTTCTGAAGAAATAGAAGAGTTGCAAAACAAGCAAACAAAAGTCAAGTTATTAGAAATCAATAAGGTTGTCACCATGATAGTAGAAGTGGTTGAATAACTTTCTTTTGTATGCATATCTTTGGTCCCTCGATCTGAATGTTTAGAGCTTCAGCAATGCAAAAAAGGTGAAAGCGTATTGTAGGCTGTTTTGAAGTAGGTGTTTGTTGAGACAGAGCAATCAATGTTGACAAGGTCTTCAATTATGTCACTCCTCAAAGTGCCATTGTTACCTTTCTGTAACGATGGACGACAGTGTTGTTGAAGCCTTTTAGACAGGATACACGTTGCACGACCAACATACTACCTAGCTCCACAAGAGCAGGTGAACTGATATGGACAGATGGAAGTGGTTAAATGTAGGATCTCGTCCTTTAGGCTTCTGTAGACCAGTCGGTGACTGGAGAACACTAGTCTCAGCGTCGCTGTGAAGAATGTTCTTCCTGAAGAAGCTGAAATTCTCCTCTTTAGGGTATCACTGAGTAGGTCATCTTTGAAGTCGAGGTTCATGGAAAGTTTCTTTTTTGTCACGAGTGACGTCTTTTGTCTTTGAATTTTTGGCTTGATGTTCTTGTCAATAAATCGTGGTGGATATGGGTCTTACATTTAGATTTCTTTCAAAAAGTGCAATTCTTTTTCCAGAGAATGAGGTCTGCAGATGCGTCGTCGGACGCGAGCAGCAAGAATTATCATTAAGTTTCGTTTATGACTAATTGGTAAAGAGCTGAAGAAACTTGTTAGCTAGCCGTTCCATGTGGGTTTCCTATATGATGGACCTTCTGACAGTTACGCTAGCTCTTCTTGTCAGTTCAACATCAAGAAACGGAATTTTAGATTCATTTTCTATTTCAAGAGTAAACTTTGTTTCTGGATGTCAGTGATGTTGACAGTTGGTTAAGATGATGACTATTATCACAGATAATAAAGATGTTATCCATGTATCTACTTGCATACAATTGAAAATTACAAGTAGTTGACCTAACTGGAGCATTCTGAAGGCTTGTCATGAAACAGTCTGCTAGCGATGGAGTCGAGGGATATCCTGACTCCTGACTGGTATGAAGGCAACTACTCACTAATCAGTGACTCTAGATGATTGTTACACTTCATTCTTAATCGGAAAATTACAGGTGTTTGGTATACAGTGTGTTCACTTTTAAAGATGACCCAATATTGTATTCGAATATTATTCACTAACAAGTGTGTGCAGGATGTATAATAAACTGATACGAAATAACTGTTTCGTATTAATCAATATTTACAGGTGTTATTGGTTTTAGACGAGATCTACCTTGGAATAAGTGGCATTCCAAACTAGCTAGACTCAGAGATTAGTTTCCAGCAGTTTGTTTATTTGTAGGCATTTGATTTGTTTCAAACCTGATACTGGCTCGTAACTGACTGCAGGACGAATTTTTCTTGAGTTCTAGTGAGAAGTTGTGGCCAGCGGGGTCCACCCGGTTGAGAGTGAGAGCAAATACTCTCCAGCAATGATATCTGCTGGTGGTCACTGTAAAATCATGAATTGGTAGAAGTTGGAATTCATAGGCCATTGGGGTCGAGTTCCTGGGGCTGAATAGTTTACTAGCTTGCCTTTAAACGGAATGTCCTTGGTTCGGACCCTGTCAGTGGGTGTGTCCTACCGATGAGTACCAAACTAGTGCGAAGCAGCTGTCCAATACGCCTCGGTTGGTTTTCTATGGTTCGCTATTTGATACCAATCTGTGATCAAAGTTGATAGATTAGCATTCTCATTAAAGAAGGATAAATAATTACAATACAGGTTAAGGTCGCATATAAGATGCAGGAAGACGTCTCAATAATATAGGGTTATTAAAAAAGACGGTGAAAATACTGTTAGGTGAATTGAATCCTCGATATAAGAATAAAACTTGTGCACTTTGGCGGTAGAGTATAATTCCATTGTAGGTAAAATTTATTTAGATAAAGTCTCACAATGTTATACAGTAATATTTACTGATGACCACATTCCGAGCACAATTTATTGCCACTCATAATCATATCAAGGCACCACTCACCCAACAATAATCATAATAGGATTATTCTATTCTATCTATCCTTGATCATCGAGTCTACGCGCAACACATGCAATAGGAGTGACTCATCATTCATACTGGAAATATGGAAAATACTAATACCAATCAAGTCAAGCGATGGAATTGAATCCTCGTCCTAGAATTGTATTACCAAGGCAGATTCATAGTTGTGACAGATTTGAGCCATTTTATGGATAAGGCTTCAGTGAATTTAAGTATTTGACCCAAGCTTGTTTTGTATATGGGTTTAAAGGATTTAATAAAAACAACCTTGTGACCCGTTTCTGTGATGTGCTTTGCGATAGATGATGCTGGACATCAATTTCCGCTGTTAATTGTATCCTTTGATTTTATTTGTTGTTGCAGCCACTCTCAGTTGAGTTCTGTAGACCTAACTTGCAGAGACCGATTAGTCCTCATTGTCTACGTGTGATCGTACATGAATGTGAATTGGTAAGCACAGTAGGATGTGAATCTATAGTTTGGATTCTATGATCTCGTTTTCTCTATGAAGTGACTTAAGCTGCGCAGTAATTTCTGTTAAGTGCCGGCCACAGTCTTTGTTTAGTGATCAGACTTTGTTGATTACCTTTGACCGGATCGGTGGAGCCCTTTGTAAGACACTTCTCCAGAGCTGAGTGAATTTCAGAGGATAATTGTTATCTAACAATATTCTAGTGAGGCTTCGTGTTTCTTCTTCAATGCTGTCCTCTGTACACATATGTTGAATACGTCTGAACAAACAATTACCTAACGTCTTTTCAAAAAATTCATACATCTGGTTCCCTTGATAAATTTCGACAGAGAAAGAAAGACCAGTTTTGCAGTATAAAATGATATCGCCATTCTATTTCACAGGTTCTCAACAGCTGCAGACTACCTGAAATTGCAATGGTTATGTACATGATAATAACATACTTTAATGTCTAAGTGGTAGTAGAGAAGAAAAAATACTATAAAACTGAAGCATCCAAAATGGAAGCATTACAATTTTCAGTTTAAGTTTTCATCATCAGTCTATACGCTTTCAAAGTAGAAAAGAGGAGGGTACGAGTAAGACAGAGAACAGAAAAATTTGACAAACAGTGTTAGCTTCTAGGTTCACATACCAACTCAAAAAAAACAAAAGCGGTTACAGTTTATAAGATTGACATTTGTTCAGTGAGTTGAGATCACTGAATTAGATGACTAATTAATGTCATCAAAATCGAAATTCAGTTACCAACGCAGTGAGAGATGAATCACACTCTCTTTCTGTATGCATTAGTCTCACAGCCTTGGTAACTGAATTTTGATTTTGATGACATTAATTAGTCATCTAATTCAGTGGTCTCAACTCACTGAGCGAATCTCAATCTTATAAACTGTAACCGCTTTTGTTTTTTGAGTTGCAATATGAACCTACAAGCTAACACTGTTTTTAATTATTTCTGTCTTACCCCTTCCCGTCTTTTCTACTTTGAAAGCGTATAAGTTGATGATGAAAACTTAAACTAAAAATTGTAATTCTTTCATTTTGGATGTGTCAATTTTATAGTATTTTTTCTTCTCTACTACCACTTAAACATTAAAGTATGTTATGTGCGTCGGTGGCACAATGGTTAGGACTCTCGCCGACCATGCACATGGTCCGAGGTTCGATCCCCCGCCGACGCACACCTGATATCTATGGTTGGCCTGCAAAATTTGGGCTACCGATATCCATGCTGAAAATTCCATATTTGTACTGAAAATACGGTGTGGCATCAAGCTGTAATCAAAATAAATAAAAATAATAGATAACCATTGTAATTTCAGGTAGTCTGCAGATGATGAAGGGAACCTGTGAAATGCAATGATATCATTTTATACTGCAAATCTGGTCTTTCTTTCTCTGTCGAAAAGTACCTGACACGTTTTTATACGGGAGTGGACAGTGCATGTTTCAGATAAATTACGTCTTCTTATTGTTCTGTCAAAATCCACAAGGGGGAACTAATTGCTTTAAAAATGTCGTTAGGGTTTTATAACATAAAGTCATCCACAACTTGAATTTTCACATAAAATTTAGGAATATTCATTTGGTTTATTTCTGACTGAGTAGCTAGACAACTGCAAAGGAGGATTGTATTTCGGATTGAAATGAGGCTTAAAACTCCAGAATTATCAGCCACAGCATTTATAAATGAACATTGAATGCTGACCCTCACAGTTTAAGTCGACTTGTTTA